GCTAAGTGTCTCTTTTTTTGGCCACCCCTGTATATATATATGTTGAATGTAGTTTAATTGATTAAACTAGGATAGTGGATGAAACCTTCATTGATTACCAGACGTTTCGAGCTCTTCATTTTTTCAGGGCTGAAGAATAGCTCAGAGTTTTCAGTTTTGTAAGAAACTCGACCAAGCATCTCCTTCTTCTGTGGAAGTAGGAAAGATCCCAACGATTGTCTAGGCAAACAAAAAATGCCCATCCATCAACTTTGTTCGATAAAGAAAAAGCAGTACAATTAGAGACATGATGGTGTGATGTTTCAGCAAGGGACAATATTAAGACATCAAATAAATAAATAAGCGGGAAATGAGTGACTTAAAGTAGGGAAGACACGAAAACGTGGCTTTTCCATTGAGGTCCTTGTATGTTTTATAAGGAGAGAGCATTCTTCTCATATTTGGAGGTGGAGGCGTAAGAGCCGCTGACATTATGGCAAATTGAACAGGTCATCCAACTCGACGTCTGCTTGGCCTATCCAGACATTAGCCAACTTACACGTGCAGGATAACATGCATTCAGAATGCTCTAGTGATTCAGAATTAGTGTATCTGCACATTGTCCCAAAAAAGCGACCAACATATGTAGGGTACTTTCACTCCCTACCTTAGGAATGGTTTCCTCAATTCATCACCACCAAATAATGTCGGATTCTTGAACTACTCTTGAGTAGTTCTCACGAACCTTTTTTATTTGACTTCCTTCGGAAATCTGCGTGTCGTGGCTGCGTAGAAGGGTCCCTCGTACTCTCTCGTACCTTAACATGGCAGTGATTATTAGCCAAGGATGAATTTAGAAGTGCTCACTTTGATCGACAAGGAAGTAGCAGAATCTTGTGAAATGCTCGGCGATATTTCTGGCTGTAGGCGATATATATCAACGGATTCAATGAGCTGCTTAGCAACGAAAGCCACTGGAAAAACGGTCGAAGAACCTGAACATAAAATTACTTAGTAAATGGGAATATTGAGCGGAACAGTAACATAAACATGTGAAACCAATGAATACTTCAAATTCTTGAAGCTTTTTGTTGTATTCGTCTACGTTGATGGCGCGACAAAACGAGTACTATGCGAAGTGGAGAGCAGACTGCTCAAACCATTGATTGAATGTATCATTTTGAAGACAAACCGCATAGATTGTATGTTATTCATTTCCGTATACTTTTCTTCAGAGAAATTTTCTCAGTTTGAAACTTATCCACTATTTCGACTTCGAAACTCTTAATTCGAATTCCAGATACTCCAAAATTATTAGCTGATCGCGTTGCGACTATACATCTTGACAGCGAAGTCCTCATGTTGACTTCCTTGTATAAAGACATTTTGTCAGCTTCTCAAGTGAATTCAAAAGCCTAAGATGGTCCTGCAAAACTACTCAAAGTTTCGTAGTCTCCTGGCTTTCTTCTTGATCCTCCCTTTGTAATGTGATTTCTTTTGTGTTACATTCAAGATGCTGATGAGTTCAATCAACCTTCTTGTACATGTTGATTCCATAAGACTGTATTTCCCACGTTGCTTATGCAAACTAATAAATAAAAAAATAAATAACTCCTGGGTAATGGAGGCTTGGATCACCTTATAAGGCGGCTGGCCAAGGCCCTATAGAAGGAGAGGCCGGCTGAGATCCGGAGTCACCACGTGGCGAGAAGAGATGAGGGGGGCTCAGAGTACACTAACACCCTTTCCGCGGACGCATAAACTAGACGACACTTTGTGTGTAAGCCAGATTCTGTAAGTCATCACCGCTCTGGTCGACCATTTTCAATCGTCTGCTGAACCTGTGCTTAGTGTGTTCCACTAATCTCAATCTGAGTATAATGCTGTGAAAACGTCACGATTAAGCCCCATACGGTCTTACGATTTACGCAATCATGTAGGTTGTATAAAGGTTGGGCCCCACAAAAGCTAAGGGCGCTTGGCTCGAGCCCCTTTAGCTTTTGTTGGGCTCAATTATGAGTTGGGGGAAGGCATTTCGAGTTTAAATATAGCATGCAGCAACGCCGATGCTGTTTCATACATGCGACGCTCAAAGCCACTAGTCCCCCTTACAGGTGCGACCGTTGGCTTACGGCCTGCTAGTGTCCCTCCTCTCTCCCAGGAACGTTTCAGTCCGAACCTTAAAGCTAAATGAACTGCAAAATTGACCAAAAGGGAAAGAATGACCGAACACCAACGCGTCAAAAACGGAAACTTTTATGTCTTAACGTGATCAGGGCGATTAGTCAGCTTTCACGTAAAGAATGCCTCCGAGTGAATTATATCTTCGTAGAATGGTTTTTATGAGTTTGTTATCAAGTGCAGATTCCCATTGGTAAGAAACAGTCGAGAAGCGAGCGTTTCCTCAGCCGTTTTTGATGATCTATGGAAGTGGCAAAAAACAAAGAGTTAGACTTTCTCTATTTGGCTATTGCAAAACGACGTCCTATTCGAAATTTACCAAGTATGAAGTTTTTTTTTAGAATTTTCCAAGTTTGGAATGGTTTTTTTCTTCCATAACTTGTAAGAGTGTTTCTGCAATGATCCCCTCATCAGGCTATCCCTCGTTTATTGGAGCTTCGATTTGGCATGCCTAGCATTCATCATGTTCACAGGGGATGTAAAAAAACAGATGCACTTTCGTAGAGAAGGTAAATCTGTCTTGAATGACAGGAAATAATTTAAAATAATAATAAGATATAATAAATAATATAAAAGCAGTGTAAAAAGGAAAAAAAAGTTGGGGGAAATTATGTCTAAGAAAAAGATCTTTCTTACAAATCGGAAGATTTTCTTTAAAAAAGCTGCGCTCACCTGGGATGCCAGCATGAACACGTAGGAATTGTTGTCAGCGAAGAAAAAGAAGTACGTGTAGATTCCTGAAAGCGGGTACCCCTTATCTGACAACAGAGTTGTACAATGTATAGATGTTAGTGCTCAAGAAGATGGCCAAAAAATCTCATTTTTCAAAAATATTTCAAACCAAAATCGCACAATTCGGGAATGATCTAGTTGAGGCTACCGTACAATTTTTGACAGATTTGATTACAATGAGTCTGAAAAACTTGGATTGACACCGGCAAACAGCACGCATTCTCTGCCAGAGTTCAACAACACGCTGCTTCAATGGTTGACTTGCTGCTTTGATAACTGTTCATCACCTCATCTCCATGTGAGCTTGCCCCAGTAGGAAGGAGGAAAGAGAACACGCAATGAAAGCGTGTCTTAGGAGTGGAGCAGACACGCGTACGCAGTGAATGAGTAATGGCTGCGATCGCTGCGGTTCAGGCAAGTTCGCCCCTGTGGCGCGCTTTCGAGTCTCGACAGTGACTTCGTTCTAAAAGCTCTGCTTCTTTACCCACAGATAGAGCCACTCTGATGATTTAAAGGCACAACCCAGGCAGAGGTCGTGTGAACGCTTCTCTTCGGTCTGTAGTATAGACCCCTAGAGGACAATCACAAATGTGGCGTTCCCGTGCACGGAAACCAACCGACAAGAGCGCTTGGGCCTTGCAAAGTAAGCTGCTGAAGCTGCAGATTTTTTCTCTTATCAGGCTGTTGTCTGGCGCTCTCTCATCTGTAGCGCTCTCTCGCCTCATACTCTCCTCTCCGCGCTTAGTCTCTCATTCCCTTAGCACAGCCGATTAGGAAGGTGAGTGAGCCCTTAACCTAAGCGTTTTCGACGGATTCTTTTCCTTTTTTCTTTACTGCCGGCCCATTTCGCACCAATACATTCGCATTCGTGTGCAAGAGCCACACCAATGTGATCCTGGGGCATGCCTTTAACGACGACCCGTGCCTTCAAGTTATGTAATTATGAGGCTATTATTCTTTTTCAATTACGAATGAAATAATTTTGCAGAACGTTCACGGCCCTTGAATCGTGAATGGTCCCGCCAGTCTTCCTGGCAAGGTTGAGGTTGCCTATGAGAAGTAGCATTGAGCGGCATTGGCTTGATTTGTTCTAGTCAAAGCACTCAGGCAGTGGGCGAAATTAGCTTAGTTCTGCGCTGGACCCATTAGCGCCCTCCCCTCCAATCTTGTCTGTCTTAAGTGTCATGTTCTTCAAAAAGTCGCTAGTTCTGAAGAACAAAAATAATAAATCCCCACAAAATCGATCAGCTGATTTTTTCATATTGGATGTGTTTCGGCTTCACAAAACTCTAGCAAATGCCGATGGCTTTGAAAAATAGATACTGTAACTGTGTCTAGTGCAAACTGTTGTATTTGCACAA